TTTTTTTTTTTTTTTCACCATATCATTTTTGAAGACTCAAACAAATATAATATAGTGCTGTTATGCGCACAAATGTGTGCAACTGGTAAAGTTCGTTACTGTTTCACAACTACCGTTCTTATTGTGATACCGCCGACAAAAAATCATCGATACTGTAAAAGATAAAGACAACAGCAATCGCAGCAGTGTTTTGTGCATATTGTCTCCTAACATTAGCATTCCTAACCAAATACTGTCGTATATCCATTCATTTAGGACTGGTAACTGTTCTGATACAACTGATCTGTTGTAGATATTGTAAAATATTATTCACGTACATACAAAAAAAAAATTTTGCACTTTGATTAGTGGTCAGCAAAAACAACAGAATGATGGGGAAAAAAAAAAGAGTGGAAAGGATAGATTGAAAAAGACAACAACGAGATTGCTGAAAAACAAAAAGTGATTGTAAAAGTTTGTCAAGCATATATTTCTTAATTTGTATACTTATTATACGACTATGAAAGCAACATTCAACAGATGAATAAACGAATGAACGAATGAGTGAGGGAATGATTGAATGAATGAATGAATAAATAAACGAGTGAGTGAAAGAATAAGTGAGTGAATGGATGAATGAACGAATGAATGAATGAACGAAATGTATAAAAAGGTGATCAATGTTTATGGAGGCAAAAACCAAAACTGAAGTGTCGTCGTTGTTCACACAGTTTACATCCCAAATATCAAGGTCATTGTTTTGAATAAAAACAAATTTTGCTCTTGTTGTTGTTGTTGTTGTTCATCTTAAATACCATGATCTTTTCCTCTTCTTATGCGAGGTATCATTGGTCTTGATTACAACCACTGCTGCTGCTACTGCTACTGTTATCGACAGAACGTCTTATAAATGTAAATATAAATACAATGGAATACGGAACAAGCACAAAAATAAGGAAGGTCGTAGAATAAATTTCTTTTTTTCTTCCTTTTCTTGCAGGAAATTCCCATGAGAAGTATCTGCTCACACACAAACATAGCACAGAAATAGAAAAAAAAAAAAAAAAAAGATGACGACTGAAAGATTGAATATATATGAATATATACAGATCAAGAAAATGTAATTCAGTTGTTAAATAAATATATAACTGCTGTATTTGAATTAAAAATGGTTAGCGACAATGGTGAATGAGCAATTTTGTTAAGTAGTCATTGGGTATATCGAGAATTGCTTATTTTATTTTTTCTCCACATTTTCTTCTTCCTTTTCTGCTTCTACTTCTTCTTCTCCGTCGTATTTTCTTCTACTCTATCTTATTCTTTTCACTTTTCAACAAAACAAATTTTTTTTTCCTTTTTTTTTTTGCACCTGCTGGCTGACCACTGGTCATCGTCAAATTGACCGACAGTAGTTGTTTCATCAATATAACTTCCGTCCGTTGACCAACCAAAAAGCAATTGGTGTTGTTTCTTTCCTTCCAACAGGTTTCAGGAAAGAAAAAATTTTTCGCCCATTTAGTGGACATCGTGAAAGATAAAGTCAAAAAAATAAAGGGATTTTTTCATTAAAAAAAAAACAAAGTAAAAAAAACTACTTCCTTTAATTTTCACTCATCTATTAAGTAAGGAAAAAAAGAAGGCTTTTTCATATTTATTTATAGCACAGCAGATTTAATTACCAATTGTTTTTTTTTCCTCCTAAAAATTTTTTGCATTTTTTTTTTGTTTGAAAAAAAAAGATTAATAGAGCAAAACTGAATGGTTGCCATTTATGCCCAGCAAGCAGTTAATCAGTTTTGTTTTCCATTCTATACAGATGTATTCTTGTGGTGTCAACATCGACATCATTATTATTTCCATATCCGTACCCCATCTCCATAACCATCCCCGCAACCTCATTGTCATCTAAAATAATTACTGCAGTTGCACTGATGACAACAACATTGGTAGCTGCATTAGCCGTAGCTTCAACTTATGATGCTTATTAGTCGGTTTCAGCATTGGATTCATAAATAATATGAAAGATGAAAAAATTAAAATAAAATAAAAATGAGAAGGAAAGAAAAGAAAAGAGATGTCAAATATAGGAGGAGAAAAAAAAAAGAGCTCTAATTTTGTTAATTTTCAGTCAAAAAAAAAGGAATTTTTTTAAGACTATAATTTTTTAAAAATGCAGTTGAAAATAAGGGATTAGGTTAGGCTGTTTTTATGGATGCAATATGAACATAACAATGCGGTCCTAATTTCATATTCAAACTCATGATTAAGAAGCCCTTCTTCATATACATA